ACAAAGTCCCAAATCACGGCGTGCACGCAAATATCGTTATCTTACCATAGACACTTCATACGGGCATGAAGCACAACAAACCCCATTTCAGGTAGTTCCATTGCAAGAAACTCCATTGCAAGAGATAAATTCACAAACGCGCAAGTGGGACACAGCTAGTTTATCTAGCGGCATCTCCAGCGGTGATTTATCATCGCCTTGTGAGTGTAATGATGTGGATGTAAATAGTGCGGAACATGTACTAATAGCAAAAGACCATCAAATGAACGATACGCAAGGTGTGCATGTACAGGATGTAGTCAGACGTCATAATAAAAATAATAATAATTGCAGTAGAAGTGAAGTTAATCCAACTGCTGGCAATAAGAGTGCAAATAGCACAACTACGCCAAAACGACGTGTGCGCCCACGTAGCGCGTTTATTAATGGACCATTAGCAGACTCAAGTTATTATCGAGATATTTATGAATATCACATTAGCCAACAGCATTGCGGACATGATGTGCAAATTGGCTCCGATGCTGACTTTGATACAAATGCTGCTGATGAAGAAAACTTACTAGCTGATGAAGATGTTGACGAAGACAATGAATTGCGAGCATCATACTATGTCAGCAATGTAAGTAGATAATATTTTATAGAAAAGCATGAAATTGATGAAATTGTAGCATATAAAAATTGATAAGGTAACATTTTACGCACAAAGTGGTTTATTATGTCGTAAGTGGTGTAATAAAATAGTTATGAGTAACATTACTTAGCAGAATGACTCAATTAGGTCTATTTTATGTCAGGCGTAAAATTGCTTACGTGTGCTGCTTAAGTGTTCAGGGTGTTGATACAAAATAAAAGAATTTATTAAAAGGTTTGGAAAAGGAACATATTATAGTGAGAAGGCGTTGAAATATAAATAGTGTATGGGTATTATGGTTTTCCAATAGTAAAATCGGTTCTTCATTTGGTGAAACTATCTGAGTGAGTGCAAAAAATTTGTTGGTGTGGTATCTCAATTTAGCAAAAAAAAGAAACAGAAGATTTACATAACAATCAGGGATGTATCTGTTTATTTTACTATTCTTCTTATGTGAAAAATACTATTCAACGTGTAGGCCACATATCTACTCGTCAATATAAATAAATTTCGTAATACAAATGAGTTTTCTAATGTTTTTGTGACTATTCAATTGTCTTTATTATCACACAATTTTAATTCCATCATTTTGTTGTTTCATTTTGTTTATCAAATTGTTTAATTGAAAAGTACATATCACCAGAGAAGATATTCAATGCCTCCCATTTTTATCTGATTTCAAATCGATCTATTTGTTTGTTTAGGAATTGTTTATTTGCTTACCTTTTCTCAGCAGCAGAGACGATTTTCGATTTGAAACGGAAGGTTACCGTCATCGGAGTTGATTCTTTTAACGGAGGATTAGATCTACAAAAGCCAAGGTGTTTGATTTTTTTTGACCATTCAAATGTCTTCATTTTCGTATTGTTTACGAATTGTTTAATTAGGAAGTTCAAATCATCAATAGAGATGATATTCGATATGCGACTGCGTTCTTGCAAGTATAACAGGTTCTTCGCTCTATTGATCTTAGTTTTTTTGACAACCAATATTTGATTTTGTATTATTCCAACTTTAACATTTCGAACTATTTTTGCCGAAGAAGTGATTTCGATTTCTTCAACAATAGCAAACTACCGCTGATTTTGTTATAAAGCTTTATATATGGAAGATTTATTCATATTGATTTATTGGAAGATTCTAACAATCTACACATTATGAATTTCAATACGTAGAATATCTTACAAAATATACTAAAAAACAAATATTTTCAAATACTAATGAACAATAAAACAAATTATTATTAGGTAAAATAAACATTTAGTATTACCATCAGTTGGAAAATTATAACAGTTGGAATATGTTTTCACTTCAACTGGGCCATTTTATATATAGGTCATACTTAATCTATATTGTTAACAAAATGTTAAATAACATAAATATATACCTGCATAACGTAACAAAAAATTATTTTAAAATAAAAACTTTAAATTTATTTTATTGTAAATTACAAGTTGGACATAAAATAGTTGCAGTTTACTGAATTCATACGCAGACATTTTGCATAAAAACATTTCTGAAATTTATCATTTTTTTTCACACCACAGGACGTTTTAAAGAAAATACGAGAATGTGGTTCCTCGGTAACATATTACGGCGGACGTGTACTACAATGTAATTCACCGGAGCTACTATGCACAAGCAACAACACACAATATGCTAACAGTAGTTCCTCACAAAGTGGTACGATGACGCTAACAAGAGCTCGAGCAAAACAAATTGAAACATGTAGTGCCTGTCAACCAAATCAGTGTCCACACAGCAAACAGCAACTGCAACAGAAATTACCAAAACCACATGACCAACCCAAGTATCAGCCAACGCAACAGCAGGCACATCAGAAACAGCAGCTGGAGCAGCAAAATAGGAAAACTGACGAATCCAAAAATAAAATGGAAGAAAGTAATAACAGCACTAACACATATTCCGGTAAGTGTGGTGCAAGAAAAGTTTATATCTAGTAACCAAACATTATTAAAAGTTTTCGACTTTAATATTAATATGAACTTTTTTCATTTCTTTTAATTTTTCACAAACCAAAGGTATTAAATTTAAGCTCGTAAAATCAAATAGCTGCAGTAGTCGACTGGAATTGGCTGGGGCTCTTGATATTGAGGAAGTTGACACAGGCATAGAAGTTGTGCGAAAAATGGTAAATCATTTTGAGAGTAACAAGAAAAATGGCCACAACATCGATGAACCTTTGACGATAAACAACCAAGCTACGTTACCTACTCCGGAGGGTAATTGGAACGACAACAACGGTAGTGCGTATAATGCCAACAAGAATGCACAGTCTAACAATATTAAGCAAGTGACGGTAAATAATCATATCAATGTGCCAGTGGTGCGGACGGAAAATGTGATGTCAAAACAACCTGAAAGTATGCAGCAAAATAATGAAATTAAAAGCAGCACTGAAACTTTAAATCATAAAGATTTAGATAAAAAGGAAATGGATATTGCACATATACAGAGAATATTTGAGAGCACAGCATATGATGACCGTTCAACCACGAATGGCCAAGAAAAATCTACCAACAGCAATAGTAATGGTAATGGTGTTGCCCATACTGAAACGATAAAAATTTGCCGTAATAAAAATGTCGACTTAGCATTTACAATGGCAAAGAACCAACAACAGCAGCAGCAACAACAACAAACACAACAACCGAAAACCACACAAAATGCCAGTATCAATAAAACCAAAGACACATCGAAAATCCTCACACAAAATTCTTTTAATAATGTTAGCAATCAGACCGAGAACACGCCCAAATTTACTGCATATAACGACGTAAGTGTAGTGAAAAGTGTGACAAAAACTTTTGAAACCAATTTGCCATTGAGCAGTGATAATCATGATGATACGAGCAAAATTTTTGACATGACCTCGGAAAAACCCATAGGAATTGTAAAAGCTGAACAACATAAAATAAACACTACCAACAATTCGGCAACAGCAGCCGGTACACCGACATCACCAACACAAATAATTGTGCCAGTGCAAATACATCGCAGCGATATTTACCAACAGGATGAAAAGGCAAATTCAAATTTAAACTTAAATGCAACAACAACAAATACAACAAATACAACAAATTTAACAACTACGTCCATTTTAGATAAAACCGTAGTACGGCATTACGTTGCCAATGACAAAAGTCTCTTTGAAAAGCGCAAATATGACGACATCGAATTTGAAGAGTTCGAAGTTTATGATCCAACGAAAGATTTTGAAAAGTTAATTGAAAGTGTCGAGCAGGAGATCAATAATGAGGATAACAACACAGAAATGGATAAGCAATAATAGAAAATGATGATAAAGCATTAAAGCAAATATACCAGAAACAAAAGTAACTATTGTGACAAATAAAATTAGCAAGTGTCAGTGATTTATCTTCCCAAATGTAAATTGGCATACTGTTATGAAAATGGAGCATGAACAATCTTGTAGATGTGATGTCAGTAAAATTGATTACTACAATAGTAGAAATGATATATTGTTAACAAAATACAGCAATGAATTTGCACGCTAGAATTAGTGTAGTCTATATCCAAAATTATGCTCAATAAATCATACGTAACCATAAAAATTCTAAGCATGGTGCAACGATTTGGTGTAGGGACATAATTTATAATACAAGTTTCCTTTATTTAATTTTAATATATTATAAAATAAATGATTCATACATATATATAAGAATTATAGTATAATTTATATACTCAAACTTGTTAAATTATATATAAATATATACCATATATATTTATGCTCAAAAATAAAATACAATTGCGTGACCGTAAGCTCAAGAATTAAGAATTGAAAGAAAGTCGTAAATTTAGACTACAATATGGAAATTCTTTATTTCCTTAAACGAAGTATAACTAATAAAAAACATAAAATATTGCTTTAAGAACTAAAATATTTATATATATATATACATATATCTATGCAATGCCAAAAGTTGTCCAAAGTAAATATGTAATTAAGTTAAAAATGTTTACCAATAAAAGTTCTGAAAAAAATGTAATGAAAATAATTAATTTAAGGATTTACTTAAACCAGTGACATGTGGCTTAATTATTTTTCGAGTTCAACCACAATCCACAATCCAAACCGGGTTTTTTGTCGGCATATGTAGGTACTACATTATCGATTGTTTTCTTGTTTGTAAATAGTTTGCAACTGGCAATGCAGTGGCATTAGAGCATTATGCTGATAAATTAATTGTCATTGGCAAAACAATAAGAAGAATAAAGGATGATTACTTTAGTACGTAAAGAAATGGGAATTGTATTTACGCAAAAAGTAGCTTAAAATATTATATTTTGACATGCAATGAAATGCAATACAAATTGTTAGTCTTACCTGAGGGTATAATCCCTTCAAGGGATTTGTCGGAGCAGTAATTTCGCCCGTTTATGTAGCATGAGTTCTGGAAAGAAAAAAAAGTATTTTCTGTTATATTTATGATTTACAAATAATTATTCGTAATTTAATTTTCAGTAGATTAGTAACGAAAGGTTTTTGATAAGAAAAAAATTTTGCAATATGTAAGAAACTTCATTTAAAGTTCATGAATTTAAAATTAAACCGTTAAATATAATGTTCTTTGCGATTTTTGATAAATCCGGAAAAACTGTTCACTGAAACTTTTAAACACAAGTGACAGTCACAATTATCCAACAGTCAACAACCTAAAAACACATCGAAACCTAATAAACACAGACAGTTACGAAGACATCAGTTCCATCATTTCATAAAGCCCCCGTATTCAGTTATACTTAGTGTATTTAAAACTGTTCACAAGTAAAATAGAGTCAAGGTGATGAAGCACCAAAACAGGTACACACGCATACATACCATCAACGTTATGTTATTTATAAATTAAATTTACTGATTTGAATTCATAACAATTATAAAGAAAATTTCTTAATTTATACTTAACTTAATTTAAATCATGTATTAATATAAACCAAAGTTTAAGTGCCAGCAACAGCACCAAAAAATCGAAAATACATAAAAATTAAGAAGCAGGAAGTACAAGTTTCTTCCATTAATTAGAAAACACTTTTGATTTCACTTTCCATGAAATCATGTTAAGAGTATTAAGCATTTTGCAACTAACTGAACACAATGCTGAATGCCAGACTCACTCCTAAGCATATGGCTTAAGTCTAGATCTATATAAATCTGGACAGTGGCACATTATATGTTTCGGGCTGCAATGAACATATTTTACAGGAGTTGAGATATGAATGCCACGTCTGTGTCCATGTTGTTATCCATAATCTAGTAAGTTGTGAAAATATAATTTTAAATAATTCTAATTATCTAATTTTAATAATTATCCTGTTTCAAGGGACAAACTCTGATTTTTTAGAATTGAAGAATATCGTTTTTCACTTGGATATTGGAAGTATGATTAACCGAAAAATACTTTTAAAAAAATACTTTTACTTTTAAAGTATAAAAAAACGAATAGAGAAATTTCGTCTGATAGCAACATAAATTACAAAAAAGGGTTTAATCGAAAAAGCATTGGATCCGCTTTTTTCTAGCATATAAACTAGAGGTAACTTGAAACTACTACTTTGAACGAGAAATAATTTTTATATAAGCCTGTTTGAGAAAATATAAGCTTCATTCTTCTGGATGTACATATCTAGATAAAGAAAACTGGCTCTAAGGATGGCAACTAGTTGTGCTTGAAATATTGAAGTTTATTAGGACATGAGGGTATCAAGACATGGTATAATTCCGCTCATAACTCCACTGCATAGCACATTTATCCTTTGAATTATATATTATAAGACTACCTTACGAGATTGGATTCATATAGTTGAATTGATAGAAGGGCCAATATATCTGTTGAAACCCTCCAAATAAATATTTTTTATATTGAAAGTAATAGTTTTACATCCTGATATGTAAGGTCTATTAATTTAAAAAAGTTTTAAGGTCTTTGATTTATCTTACAATATTTTTTGATTTTAGATAGACTTTTTCACATGATGATACAAGCTAAATTAAAGCCAGATATGCTTGAATTTATAAAAACGTTCACTTTCAACTAATGTATGTTATTGGACTTCGATCGAATTTCTATTTAAGACACATATTAAAATCAATGTATGAGTACATCTGAATGTGATAATACAATGTTACTTATATATTCTATTTTCTTGTAGGAACATCGAAGTAATAGTATTAGAAAACAGCATAGAAGTGATTTATTATGTTTTATAGTGCTGTTATTTATGTGAAATATGTGCATTAATAAATTGTTTAAATGCAAAGCAGTGCAGAATTATTATTAAAAATTCTAATGACAAAACCGCCATAACAAGCAAGTGGGTCTCGTTCAAATAAGTCAATTAAACAACATAATCCTCACATGAGGCCGCACTGAGAGCAATTAAATCCAAAATGGTTAAATCCAAGATTGTATTAAAATGTTGCACCTAACTGATAAGCATCATACGTAACAAGGTCTCTCTTTGCTTGGTTCCTGGATATAACAATATTGAAGAGAATGAACTAACAAATGAGGTGGTCAGAAGAGGTTTTGAACTGCATACAAGAGAGGCTGACCTATCAATAAAAATACCGATATGTAAACTGTTTAAGATAATAGAAGATATTACCAATACGGTGACTAACTTATTTATGAGCTAACCGCAAAGACTGTGAGGTCGCTAGAACCTTATGGCCTGATTTCGACAAAAATAAAACGAAAAGTTTTAGGCTTCAGCAAACCTGCAGTTCGTATACTTAATACAGTACTAACGGGGCACTGTGCCATTTCGCCTATGTTTCAAAAGTGGCGAGTTCCAACAAGTGGATTATACAGTAGTTTCCAAGATGAAGAGAAGGTAGAATCTATCAACCACTACCTGTGTCTCTGCCCAGGACTGCAGAAAAGACGACTTCATTGTGTTGAGGATCGCTTTCTCAGTGACTTGGTAGAAATAACGATAGCAAACTTATCGGATCTCTTCAAATTCATCTGGAAAACTAAATGGTTTAGCAATGATAACAAAGGTTAGCAACTCGCTTTTCCCGGCATAATTTTTGGGGACATCACAATGGATAATATATGTCTCCGAGTGGAAATGCTGACAACTGTCAGCACGCATCTTCTGAACCTAACCTAACCTACATGAGATGTAAGGAAGGAGGAAGGAGAATAGGGAAGGAAGGAAGGAGAATATGATCAACTCCACTAAGGTAGAGTTGTATGTAAGGAAGGAGCATATGATCAACTCCACTAAGGTAAATAATATCAAAAATATTAGAGCTTAAATATTTGAATAGCTTGTCATATAAACATATTTAGTCAGTTGTTACAAATGATTATGACTGAGATTTTTTTTGTTATTCTTTTTTTACTTTGGAAAAAATTTAGAAAGAAGTCTGCTTCCATACAAAATTTTTATTTCTTAGGTCCTAGAATTATATTCTCTATTCATGCCATTTGGTTAGGAAACTTGTATATATATCCATCATAGTAGGTATGTAGACACATAGAATAAAAAAAGTATAAGTGTGATAATAATTACAAAAAGAAAAAAAGAAAAAAGGAAACCATAGAAACTGAGTAGTATTTAAATTAGATTCTGACCAAACACCAGTGAAAGAAGAAACTTTTTATTTGAATTTGTTTAGAAATTTTTTTAAGCTATTCACCAAAAAATAGGCTAAAGCACTACTCGAAATACTCGTTACGGACGGAAGCTTCTAACTTTAAATGCTTGGCAACCATTACGGATCCATCAGCAAAAAAAAACTGGGAAGGCTTGTTATTTATTACCGTCTGTTTGCTGTATGTCTCCTTTACAAGGAGCAAAACAGTTGAAGGATACAAATTTGTTTTTAATTTTTTATTTAATGCATTTCTGAAAAAAGCATCTGAAGAGTTCAAGAAGAGCAATTTAAACTGCAAATTAAATATTTACTTAAAAATATTAAGAAATATTAGATGAATGAGTATACAAACTTTGAGTGAAAGAAATTTAAACAATCACAAAAAAAAAGAGAAAAAAATTAAATTAGAAACTTTTTTACTTTATTTTAGAAGAAATTTTTTATTTATCGTTTTATTGTTAAAAAACAACTGCTCTCATTTGCTTAAAAATAAACTTTCTGGTTTCTTTAAAAAAGTTTTAGTTAAAAACTTATTAATGAGCACAAGTTAAATCCTTTTTAAGTATTAAATCCTTTAAAGTGGATTTATATTTTTTAATACATTAAGCCGTGCAATTTAATAAATTTTTAATTTCTTTTAAAAACGTTATCGTTGACTGATGCTCACCACGCCTATTATGCCAGGTGAATAATATATAACCCAAGCCTTACTTTCACATACACAAATGTATCGAGGGACGAAAAGAAAATCCAATTAAATTTAAAAGCTCCCAAGCGAAATCAAATCAGATAAAAATGATAAAAAAATGTACACACATTCGTATGGTGATAAAAATTCTATATATATCCACAGAGGAAAGTAATGAAAGAGATATATGAAAGGATAATATGTAAATGTATATATGTATAAATTGTAAAGTTGTAAAATTGGTCTTGGCAGTGCAACATAACTCAATATCACTGAAAAATTTATTTCACCTGCCAATTTAACTCTATAGATTGCGGTAAAATTCGGGCTATTCGGGCATTCAATCAGCCGCGTAAATAAATCAAATGTGTGTGAAATACTTATTTTTATACGAACTGGAAAAATAAGTTTCAAGTATTAAATTTCATGTTAACAAGATGCTGAGATATTGTTTTGCTGAATGCGGTAAATTGTGGATTATAGGATGTAAAGGAAATCAATCAAGGACACAAATGACTGAAGTACACATTTTAACGATTGTGGATATATAAGTACTGGAATCGAGATACAAAACAGCAAGCAGGTATACAATTTTTAACTAAAGAATATTCCGTTACTTTATCATCTGTAAAATTAATACCCAAAAGAAAAATAATAATTCAGTTTATTTAATTTCTTTATACTTTTAGTATTAATATGACAGCAGCATCCTATAAAGTACTCTCCATTCAACTTATAAAACCACTAAATTTGTGTGAAAACCTAAAGAAACTACTTCTATTGGCAATTAACTTAAAGTATACAATAGAACTATAAAGTGAAAAATACAATATATAAATTTTCAAAAATAAATATGTGTTGTGGAGAGGAAAGGCAAGGCATTGTCAAATAGTTTTATTCATGCGGTTTCTAAAAGAAGGGATGTCATTGTGTAAAATTTCAAGTTTTGCTTCGAAAAGTTTTCACAAAAGAAAATTTATGTAAAGATTTTATAAATATCTCAAGAGTCTTTTTCGACATCCTTTGTATTTAAAAGGTTGCTTTTCATATGAGTGGACTATTCAGAAGGATAAACTAACTAGCGTATTAAGAGCATTCGA